GGTCTTGCTGCCCCCTCTGGAAGGTGCAGACAGTGCAGTTCTTCGGGCATATCTGACCCTCTTCCCTAGAGACCAGGTACCTCCACTTAGGTCACTGTTTTCCATTCCTTCTTGGCCCCTTGCTAGCAATCTGCTTCTATCTCATTGCCACTTGCCTGCCAGTACGTAGTTGAAAGGCATACACACAGTAGATGATGGATGACAGGTTGGGTTATTTTATGATGATGATTTTATCTAGAAGCTGGCATGGGGCGCGAAATCATTTATCTATGCTTAGGCCCTTGACAGTTGGATGAGATAGACTAAGGAGGGAACTCATTTCAGCAGAGAAAAGTCACCTTGACATGCCCTTGGAAAAGACCCTCCTCATCCCTCCGACTGACGGTGGATCTGAGCCTGTGGAGCCATCTGGACAAACAGCAGAGCTCCGCTTGTCTTTCATGGGCATCCTACTCCTTCCCTCTATTGTTGTCATATTGCTAGTCCCATCCTTGGCCCGTTCTTGCCTCCGAGAGAGGCTGGACGTGAGTTCCTTCCCATCCCACACAACCCTGGCTGGCTCCCTCTGAGGAAACAAAACCAAGCCAAGCATCCCACACAAACCTCAAACCCAGCCTTGGTTTGTTCTTGGCCCCAATCAAATGTCATCCAGGAGCTGTGGGATAGAAGGGGAGGGAGAAGCTCAAGCCACCCAGGGGGAAAGGAGCGGGTCCCAGGGCTCCTTCATTCTCCTCCAGCTTTCAAGGGCCTATCTTTGGCTGTGATCACTGTCTAGCTTTAGAACAGAGGTATTAAAGGACCACGACTAGCGGAGCTGCCACCGCATGGTGGGGCAGAGCAGAGCAAGATGGGGCTTCACCTCCTGGCAGGGCATGCCCCTCAGGTAGGAGGGAGGGGACCTGCTGGGCCACATGCATTAGTGCAGGAGCAGCACCTGAACCTGGGTAGTGCTAAAACAACCCATCTAGAAAACCAGAAGGTGGGAACCAGAGGAGGAGAAATTCTCATGAGAAGTAGTAATGGAGACAATTCAACTAAAGAGGCAAAAGGAGAAAGGGAGAAGGTAGCCATAGGTCTACATGAGGAAGGGATGTGAAAATCATGGCAGCAAACCGGAAAGAGGCAGGCATGCCTGCGACAGCCTCTTCCCTTAGTGTCTTTCCCGGTATTGATTCTGGTATTTTCTGTGTATGTGCGTGCCCCAGAGCCAGAATTTTTATGTCCATGTCCAGGCATAAAATTAGGAGCTAATTGCAGACCAGGTGAACTAAGCAGGACCTGCAGTGGGGTCCATGTTTCTCAAACTTTGTATTGGCCTGATAATCCCCTTGGCTTATTCGGGGGTGGGGAATCGAATCTTCCCCATAGGATCCTAATGCAGGGCGGCCCGGGAGTCTGCAGTTTCACAAGCACCCCAGGTGTTTTGGGTGAAGGTGGCTCAAGTCCCCACTGGAGACACACTAGTGTAGAGCTTGTTCAAGGGGGCCAAAAGGGGGGAGGCTGAGGCAAGCGTATGCAAGGGTTGACATTCTGTTATGAAGAAAGTGGGTGTGCGAGTGGGGTGCTGAAAGGGTCTCAGCAGAGAGCTGTCCTCAACAAGGAGCCCAGAGGTTCTCACTAGGGACAACTTTGCTCCCTGGGAGACATTTGATGATGTTTGAAGAAATTTAAAGTCACAATTGGGGGGGGGGGGGGGAGGGCACGGTTCTGGCATCCAGTGGGTAGAAGCAGAGATGCTGCTAAACATCCTACAATGTACAGGACAGTTTCTCTTCCCCCTTGTCCACATCCCTCAAACACAACAAAGAATTATCCTGCCCCAAATGTCAAAAGTGCAGACAGACAGAATCCCAGAGGCAGCCAATTTCCTACCCCCACCTCCTTCCCGCAGGTCTTGAACAAATACTTGCCCTGCATGGCACCTACTATGAACGTTGTTGCATGGTTAGATGCTAAAATCACCATCATTTGGGTCATTGACAAGGTAAGCACAGCCAGGTGGGCCTTTGCATCTTTCCCTGCCCATCCATTTCTTCTCAGCCAGGTCTGGGGACCCAGAGGAAGCTTTGGTTGCAAGTCACAAGTGAATGGCGCCACCCAGTGGTACTAGAGTTAACAACACCAGCAGGAACAGTTCCAAGAAAGGAAACTATTAACAATAATTAGCTGGCTTTTACTGTGGAGATTTTTATGGAGGAAAAACGAAGATCACCCAGATGAGAACAAACAGAGGCTATTTATTCAGATCTTTCTATAGCAAGTCACTTGTGTTTGGCAGAGACTCAAGTACAAGTAAAGACTCAAATGCCAGGGGGAAAGGTTTATTGGGGGCAGGGAGGGGGGGGGGTGTACCTAATTGCAGGTTAGTGGCACAGGGAAGGAAGCTGGAGACCGGTGGTAGTGTGTGATTGATTTGGCGAGGACATCTGGCTTTCTATGGCTGGGTCCTGAGTTGGAAGTGGGGGTGAACATTAGAGAAGCTGGCAGCAATCAGCCTAGTGATCCCCTCCATCCCACTCTCACCCCTAGGATGCCCTTATTTTAAAAAAATATATATATTTTATTGATTTTTTACAGCGAGGAAGGGAGAGTTAGAAACATCGATGAGAGAGGAACATCGATCAGCTGCCTCCTGCATACCCCCCACTAGGGATATGCCCGCAACCAAGGCACATGCCCCTGACTGGAATCGAACCCAGGACCCTTCAGTCCGCAAGCCGACGCTCTATCCACCGAGCCAAACCGGTCAGGGCAGGATGCCCTTATTTTAAGTCTGACCTTCCAGAATGTATCCTCCAAATTTGTGAAAATATGTCTGTCATCTGAAGTAGGAAGAGAAACAAAACTACTTTTATTCATCTAGATAACACAAATAACATAGGGTAACATTTATTGACGCAGGGTGTGAAACATAGCATAGTTTGTGGTTAGAGGCTCCGAGAGGTAAGGTAACTTGTCCCCCAGAGGTAAGGTAAGGTACAGATCACACAGAGGGAGACTAAAACCAGGTTTATTTAGTTCCAAAATTTTGCTCTTAACTACTGTTGAATATGTTAATTACCAGAACCATAAATGTAAATCTAGAGGATTTGAAAAGCTTTAGTCAGACTCACTTCCCCCATTAGCTTAAGGAGAAACAGAGGCCCAGAGACTTGCCCGGGGTCACATCGCTACCTCCTAATTAGCAGGCTAGAACCCAGGGCCCCTGGTTTCAAATAGAGTCCTCAATAAGCCCTTTGGTGAATCAGAGGTATACAAGCATATCCTCACACACCTTTGGAATGGAGTGGGTAAATAAATCAATTGGCGGTTGGGAAGAGGATAATGAAAGGCTGGTCATACTTGAAACCAGAGGTGGTAGGGATGACTCCTGTCTTGTAAACTGCAAAGAGGTCTGCAGCATCTTGTGGAAATGGGAGATGGATTATTAACAACACAGGAGTAGCCAAAGCCACTTCTCATTCCTGTCTGTATCAGCAGCCCAGGTCCCTACATTTTGGGGCACCCCTTGGGGCTGCAGTCACACTTCCAGCAGGGGAAACCACACTTGGGCATGGGCTGTGTCTCTTTTTCTCTTCCCTGGGCTCCTTCCACGTGTGAAGCCCACAGATGAACCTGGGCAGACTTGCAGATAAAGGATTGTATGTGGCTGTGGTATCCAGGGCAGGTGGCCTCAAGTCCACCCCCCCACCCCCCTACCCCCCCCACACACACACAGAGCGGAGGACCTCTGGCCTGCCTGGCTGTGTTGGCTTATTTCCAAACTCTGTTTCTCTCCCCCTTGCTCTCTAGAACCATCTGACCTTCCTTTGGTTCTTCAAGGTTAAAACAAACAACTCCCCCTCCCTTGCCAACACACACACAAACCCTCACACCCTAACTCCTTCGTATTTTGGGGCTTTAGGGCATCTTCCTTTGTGTCTGAACACCTTCCCAACTCCCTTCCTCTCCAAAGTAGCCACATCCTATTGGTTCCCATTCTTTCAGGGCTCTTGCCACACTTTGTTCCCCTGTGTGGTAACCCTCATAAGTCCTTGTGTAAGGGCAGGATGTGTGTCTCCACTCCCCAGCCCAGCAGGGTATCTACCTCCATACATATTACTGAGCCTTGGTAAACCTTAGATTCAGCTTAAGAAATACTTATGGGGCTCAATAGTATTAGTTGAAAGACTGAACATGGCCTTTCGGAAGCCATTCCCCAAGGTCCAAACACATTGCCCAAATTGATGCAGCCTGGCCCCGCTCCCCCCCTCTGAAAACCCTACCTGTCTTGACAACCGGCTTGCAATTCATGGCCTACTTCAGGGTTCCCACGCTTTGTAGGGAGAGCTACAAAGATGTCAGTGGAAAGGGGGAGCGTGGAGCGCGCGTTTGCGTTTGGTGCTATACCTGGAACCCAGGACCCGAGGGCAAGGTGTGCCTCAGCGGTGTCCGTACCGCGTCCGCTTTAAGGGGCCGTGCCAGCGCCGGCGGGCGGGGCGCTCCCGGAAAACGCGGGCCGCGCGGCCTCTGCGCCCGGTCGCCGGCCCGATCCCCGGCCTCCAACACTCCCTCCCGGCTCTCGGCGCCCGATCCCCGGCCCTCCGCACCGGATCCCCGGCCTCCAACACTCCCTCCCGGCTCTCGGCGCCGGATCCTCGGCCCTCCGCACCCGATCCCCGGCTTTCAACACTCCCTCCCGGGTCTCGGCGCCCGATCCCCGGCCTCCCGCACCATCTCCCGGCTCTCGGCGCCCGATCCCCGGCTTTCAGCACTCCCTCCCGGCTCTCGGCGCCCGATCCCCGGCCTCCCGCACTCCCTCCCGGGTCTCGGCGCCCGATCCCCGGCCTCCCGCACCACCTCCCGGCTCTCGGCGCCCGATCCCCGGCCTTCCGCACCATCTCCCGGCTCTCGGAGCCCGATCCCCGGCCCTCCGCACCATCTCCCGGCTCTCGGAGCCCGATCCCCGGCCCTCCGCACCACCTCCCGGCTCTCGGCGCAGGATCCTCGGTCTTACGCACCCCCGCTTCGCTCTCGGCGCTCCGATCCCGCCTTTGGCGCTCCGACCCCCTACGGGCCTCTGAGCTCCGACCCTCGGCTGCACCTTCAACCCCGACCCGGCTCCACCCCCACCCAGCCCCTCCGCATTCCGGCTCTGGGCGGGTGCCCCGCCACGCCGGCGATCTCGTGCGGGCCCTGGCTCGCAGGGTGACTCTGCGGCCGCCGGCTCTGTCTTCCCCTTCGCGGCCACCTTGCGCGGGTCGCGTCCCGCCCTGGGCCTGGCCCCTCCGGTTCTCACAGCGGGCCGAGTTCTGAAAGCCCCGTAGGCGCAGCCCCGCCCGAGCATAGGCCCCCAGCAGCCTCTCGCCTCGGGCCCAGGGCAGGTGCTCGGAGGGAGGGAGCAGGGCGTGGAGCCGGGTGGGACAGATGCGCCGTCCCCACCTGCGGCTAAGGCCCGGAGCGCTGGGCGGCCTCAGGGGTGGTGCGGGCCAGCCCCGGCCGGATTAGGAGCAGGGCTGGGTTTAGACTGCACATGAGCTTCGTGGGATCTGGCGGCTGCCCCACATTTCAGTGGAGTGCTCAGCTGTGGTCCTGACTCCTGTCAGCCTGGTGCACATAGGTAGGTGCCCTTTACGTGGAGGGCAGGCAGCCCCTGCGGTGGAACTCCCGGAGAGGATGGTGACTCCCTGGCGCTTCTCTGTCCGGGTCTGCTTGTCACACCTCCGGGGTTTTGAGCTCAGAAAGGAACTCAGTCTTTTAAGACCCTCTGGACGAAATTCCAGACTATGTTGGCTTCTGCTTGGCACTTTGCCCAAATTCGTCTCAGTCTGTGGGGACATCGGTGACGGGTTCCCTGAGCCCTTGTGTCAGCGAAGGGCCAGCTGGGGTGAACTGGCTGAAAATGGGCCCCTGGAAAGAGTCCCCCACGAGGGGCGGCTCGGCTGCCTCCTTCTGTACCTCCGGATTGGGCTCCGGGCTGGGGCTCTCTTGGTGAAATTCTTCCCCCTCCTTCTACTGTACCCCCTCACCTACCTGGCTCCCAGCATCTCCAGCCTCTGGCTCCACCTGCTTCTGAAAGCCACCGAGACCTCAGGCCCAACGTATATCAAACTGGGCCAGTGGGCCAGCACCCGGCGAGACCTTTTCTCAGAGGCTTTCTGTGCCCAGTTCTCCAAGCTGCATGTCCGGGTGACCCCACACCCTTGGATCCACACTGAGCACATCCTGCAGCAGGCCTTTGGGGAGGACTGGGGGAAGGTCCTGTGCTTTGAGAAGCAGGAACCTGTGGGCTCAGGCTGCGTGGCCCAAGTGTACAAAGCACGTGCCAATCCTGCCTTCCTGGAGAATGACAGCATCCAGAGACTTGCCAAGGCCTCCAGGCTGCGACCTTGTTCAGAAGCCGGGGCCCGTGGGGGGCTGGGAGAGCTCTTTGGACACCTGGAGAAGGAGTGGGGATCTCAAGGAAGTCTTGCTGACCAGTCGTTTCTAGAAAGGCTGCTTCTCCCTCAAGCTGACCTGGTTGGATCAGACGCAGTTGTGTCTCAGGCTTCGGCACCTGCCCACCTACCTGAACCACATCACCTCATCCCGGTGGCAGTGAAAGTAAGTGCTCTTATGTCTTCAGCAGGCCCTTCCCATCTCTAAAATCTCACCAACCCCAGGGAGCTGTCCTAGATCAGGAACCCCTCTTTTGCCAATCACCCCACATTGCCTTGCATTGACTTCCATTAGCTTGGCTATTATCTGAGTGTGTATGATGTGCAAACTGTTTTGTTTCTTGGCTTTGAGGGAGAGGTGGTGGTGTGATAGTCTCATAAAAGAAAAATGAAGTGAGTTCAGAGTTCGCTGCCTCTGCAGGTGGA